GGGTATAGGCCAGATCCACGGGTGAGAGTTTTCACCAGAGACAGAGCAGGGAACAGAACAGGCAGACTGATGACTTACATTGCTGAGGGGAGCAGCGGGCGAGATAGGAGAGGTTTGCTGCACCATGTGGGACCTCACTGGCCGGCCGGGATCAAACAGGCACTGCAGAGGCTGTGGACAGCTTCACAGCGCTGCGCTCAACCACCTGTGCCACCAGGGAGGCCCAGAAAATTTTTAATTTTAACAAAGTCAAGGTTATCAAATATCGCTTTTCTAGATCATATACTTGGTGTTGCATCTAAAAGTCATCACCATATACTTGGTCATCTATATTTTCCAAAATTCAAGGAATTTTATAGACTATGTTTTATAGAAATGCATTTTATATTTTTGTCTGTGTCCTATTTTGAATTCGTTTTTATGATGGTTGTAAAATTTATGTCTAGATTATATTTTTGTTTTGTCTGTGGCTGTTTTAAGTAGTTCCATCACTATTTGTTGAAAAGAGTGTCCTAGGGCCTCTCCGGTGGCGCAGCGGTTGAGCACTGGGTTGCGAAGCCGCCCGCAGCCTCTGCAGCGCCGGTTCGATCCCTGGCCACCAGGTGAGGGTCCCACATGTCGCACAGACCTCTCCTGCCACCCACTGCTCCCCTCAGCAGTGTATTTCTTCGGTCTGCCTGTTCTGTTCCCCACTCTGGCTCTGGTGAATTCTCTTACCGTCCCGCGCTTCTGACTGTACCCAGTGCTTGTATAAATAAAATAAATAAATCTTAAAAAAAAAAAGAAAAGTGTGTCTTTGGTATATTGTATCTTTTGCCCTTTGTCAAAGATCAGTTGACTATATTTATGGGGCTCTTCTTCTAGCAGGCTCTCTCTCTCTCTCTTTTTACACCAATACCACATTGTCTGTTAACTCTTGAAATTGGTTAGTGTCAGTCTTCCTTTGTCCCTCTCCTTCAACATTGCATTCATTATTCTAAATCTTTTTCCCTCCTCATAAACTTGAGAACCAGTATGTTGACATACACAAAATAATTTGCTAGAATTTTGACTGGGATTGCATTGAATCTGTAGATCAATTTGGCAGAAACTGATATCTTGATAATATCTTGATAAAACTGATATCTTGATAATTTTCATACCTAAGAATATGAGATACAGCTCCATTTATTTACTTGTTTTTTTAAAAAAGATTTATTTATTTATGCATACAAGAACTGGTGTATAGACTAAGGTGTGGGTGGTGGTGAGAGGATTTGCCAAAGAGAGTGGGAAGCAGAACAGGCAGATCCAGCGAAACACACTGCTGAGGGGAGCAGCAGGCGAAACAGGAGAGGTCTGCTGCACCATATCGGTTGCTCCTTGGCACACCAGGGATCGAACTCGTGCTGCAGTGGCTGGAGGTAGCTTGATAGCGCTATGTCTTTAACCCCTGCACCACCAGAGAGGCCCTATTAACTTCTTTTTTTGATTTATTTTATTAGAGTTGTGTAGTTTTCCATGTATATATATATATATATATATATATGTATGTATGTATGTATGTATATGTGTGTATATATAGGTTAGGTTATCTTGTTAGGTTTTGGGGTGCTAATGTAAGAAGTATTGTGTTTTTTATTTTAAATTTCACTTGTTAAATTTCTGGTACATGGGAAAGTGATTGACTTTCATTATCTTTGTACACTGCAATATTGTTATAATCATTTATCCAGTTCCAGAAGGTTTTATGTTGTTGTTTATTCTTTCAGGTATTCTTCATAGATGATCATGTCATCTCTGTTTTGTTTCTTCCATTCTGATGTACATACTTTTTATTTCCTTTTCTTATATTATTGCAGTAGTAGAATTTCCAGGACAGTTTTGAAAAGTAATCATGAGAGGAGAAATACTTACCTTGTATCTAATCTTATTGGGAAAGTTTTGAGTTTCTCACCATTAAGTATGAAGTCAGATATCAAATTGAGGAAGTCCCCTTCTATTCCTAATTTGTTGAGATTTTATCACCATGAATGTGTATTGGATTTTCTCAAATGCTTTTTCTGCATCTATTGATATGATCATGTGTATCCAGCTATTATTATAGAATTATTTCTCTCTTCATTTCTATCAATTTTTGCTTCACATCTTTTGTGGTCTGGTGGTGTTGGCTTAAATAAGTTGAGGCAAACAAAAGTAAGTGGGTTTATTAAAAAATCAAAACTAAGGACTTAAGCCTTGGATCAGCCTCCAGACAGTCCTGGGAAAGCGGCCTAAATTCTGAGCTCCTCAGTGAAGATCATGTACAGTTCACAGGGAGGGATCTTACAGGGAATATTTCAAGGATTTCTACAGAGATCTGGGTAGGGGTCCAGTTAATGTATTTATCTGATGTCATCTGTGCATAGAGGAAAACAAAGAGAGTTGCTAAAATTTACCCTATTTAGAGCCTTATATTCAAGGAACTGCAAATTTTAGCAATATTACATGTCTTTGAGTTGACATTCTTTGAAGTTACTAATTTGTCTGGAGGCAGCAGTTACTAAAACATTGCTTTTTCAAAAGACAGCATTTTACCTGCCTGGGCACAGCCTCTTCACAGGAACAGCCCATCTGTGTTCTGACTCTTAGTACCCTTTTGCTGGGACCAGGGCTGTGGCTAGGGCTAGTGAGGGGGTACCTACTTAATTGCTAGCTTTGGCTAACAGTGTATACATGTTTATTTTGTTACATCTTCTTGAGGAATTAAACTCTTATCAGTATATATCTTATAGCTTATTTTGTTTCTCATTTTTGCATTACTCTCTCCTTTTATGTTTATTAATTTTTGTATGAAAATATTTCCATTCCTTGCTTGCTTCTTTTTTTTTTTTAAAGATTTATTTATTTATGCATACAAGAGCTGGGGTATAGGCCAGAGGTGTGGGGGGTGGAAGGATTCATCAGAACAGAACAGGCAGATTGACTGAAGTACACTGCTAAGGGTAGTAGCGGGTGAGTCAGAGAGGTCTGCTGTGCCATGTCGGTTGCTCCCTGGCCGGCCAGGGGATCGAACTCGTGCTGCAGAGGCTGCTGAAGCTTTATAGGTTGCATCTTAACCCCTTGCACCAGGGAGCCCTCATTTCTTTTTTTAAAAAAAATCTATGTTATTTTCTTTGTGGTTACCATAGACATTACATTTACTATCTTAAAGCTATAGTGTTCTAATTTTGAGTTTTATACCAGCTTAACTTGTATAAATATATACAGAATGTTTAAAGTTTAAATGTATAATTCTCCCCCATTTAAAATAATATCCTTTAAGTCTAATGAAATACATCTTTATTTTTTTTAATTTTTAAAAGATTTTTAAAAAAATTTATACATATAAGAACTGGGGTACAGGCCAGAGATATGGGGGGGTGAGAGGATCCATCAAAGACAGAGTGGGGAATAGAACAGGCAGATTGACTGAAATACACTGCTGAGGGAAGCAGTGGGCAAGTCAGGAGAGGTCTGCTGCGCCATGTGGGTATCTCCCTGGCCAGGGATCGAACTCATGCTGCAGTGGCTGCCGATAGCTTCATAGGTTGCGTCTTAACCCCTTGCACTACCAGGGAGGCCCTGAAATATATCTTTAATAATAGAATTTCTGAGCATTCTGATCTATTTTCATATCTGAGATCAGTCCATGTAATGGGGAATATTTTTTAGGGTAACAACTGCTTCAGAAAGGAATTTGTCTTCATCAGATGTAAGAACTCTCAAGGAAAACTAAAAGGTGAAAAAGGTATTTATTGTGTGTGAAATGAGAACACAATATTTAAATTCCAGGTGGGAAGTTTGTGACAGTAACAGTAAAAATGGCAAAAGGCAAGGTTAATTTTTATGTTACCTGCCAATGTTGATGCTGGGATCCTCTCTCACTACTTTATAGCTTTGTCTTCAACCCACATGCTTTTTCAAAATCTGCACTCAAGTCTCATTTGACAAGGAAATGACTAATATGATTATCCTTTTCCCAAGATATTATATTCCAAGTTTTTCCCTTGAGGATAGTATTATGTAACCTTTAATTTTTGTATATTTTGATAATGAAGTCCTTACCTTACTGTTGTTTTGTGTTTCAATTTTAATACACTAGTGAAAGTTTATTCAGATGACATTTTAAGTTATTTTTTTAATTGGTTCTAAATATGAAGTTTAGAGGAATGTATTGGTTATTCTCAGTTTCTTCTAAGAATGTACCTTCATATTTAAATTTTTGTTATGGATGATTGTAAGATTCTCAGATATGTATGTTTAATATTGATTTTAGTATTCACATTATTTTAATTTCAATAAATAATTTCAATAAAAATAATGTGAAAGATGCAACATTTTATATGACAATAAAGTACAGATGAAATTTTCATGTAGGAATATTCAATGGACTCTAACTCTATTTGGAAATGCAACTTTTGGAGGTCAAGTTATAAGTTCATCAGTTAGATGATTATAACAAGCATTAAAGGGAAATGTCCCAAACATCATTTTTCTAAGATTTAATATATCAAATATTATGTTTGTCCTATAACATTGACATATAGCATATGTATCTGTAAAATTTCACATGTAAGTACCTGGTAATGTGTGCGAAATGAGAACACAATATTTTGTGTTAAAAATGAAACACAAACTATCCTAGAATATGGGGACTTAGTGATCAATGTGTGCCTTATTTTAAAACTCCATTATTCAGTTATGAATATGTAATAATAAAAATATGGATTGATACTTCATTTTAAATAAAAAGGTAAGATTATTTTGCTTTCTGTACCTTGATTTCTACCCAAATCCAATTGTAATAGCTTTGTAATAACAACTGAAGGAAAATATTGAATTACGTACTCTCAAATAATATTTGAAATGTCCTGGTCTTTGAAAAGATTTGAAATTGAAAATAATTGCGTTGAGTATATTGCAAATGAATATACACTATTCTGGAAATCAATGAATGTATCTAAAATCTATGGCATTAGCCACATGATGTCGCTGTATACCACAAAGTCCAGTCAATGATAACTTAAACCTAACAGAGGAAGCACCATTTTGTCACCGCCCTACAGAAGAAAAAACGGTAAGGAGAGAAATTACTGAGAATATGAAGTAAAAGCAGGAATTTGAAGTGAGGTGAGAGCTAGATCAAAGGTGTAGTGCTTTTGCGATGCTGTTTTCCAGGCGAGGAAGCAAGGGAGCTCTGCGTCTGCTGCTCTTATTTCTGCTCCTGCCAGCCTGGGGGGCGGGCAGCGGCCAGGTCCGCTACTCGGTCCCCGAGGAGGCCAAACACGGCACCTTCGTGGGCCGCATCGCCCAGGACCTGGGGCTGGAGCTGGCCGAGCTGGTGCCCCGCCTGTTCCGCCTGGCGTCCAAGGGCCGCGGGGACCTTCTGGAGGTAAACCTGCAGAATGGCATTCTGTTTGTGAATTCTCGGATCGACCGCGAGGAGCTGTGCGGGCGGAGCGCGGAGTGCAGCCTGCACCTGGAGGTGATCGTGGACAGGCCGCTGCAGGTGTTCCACGTGGAGGTGGAGGTGAGGGACATTAACGACAACCCGCCTGTCTTCAAAGGGAGAGAACAAAGGATATTTATTTCTGAATCCAGGCAGGTGAACTCTCGTTTTCCGATAGAGGGCGCTGCAGATGCAGACATAGGCACCAACGCTCTTCTAACCTACACCCTCAGCCCCAGTGATTATTTCTCTTTGGATGTACAGGCAAGTGATGAACTGAGTAAGTCACTTTCGCTTGAATTGAGGAAATCTTTGGATAGAGAAGAAATATCGGAACTTCATTTAACACTGACAGCCAGAGACGGAGGCAAACCAGAGCTAGAAGGTTCAGTTCAGCTGCTGATCACGGTGCTTGACGTTAATGACAACGCCCCATTGTTTTCCCAGGCGGTGTACAGAGTCCACCTGTTAGAGACTACAGCAAATGGAACCTTAGTGACCACGCTAAATGCCTCTGACGCTGACGATGATGCAAATGGCGAAATTGTCTTTTCCTTTGGCAGTGATGTTCCTCTTGGCATTAAAAAAATTTTTAAAATTGACTCCAGTTCAGGAGAAGTTACTCTAATTGGTAGGCTGGATTACGAAGAAACAAAATCCTACGAAATTCAGGTTAAAGCAGTTGATAAAGGAAGTCCTCCAATGTCAAGTCACTGCAAGGTTTTAGTGAAAGTACTGGATGTAAATGATAATGCTCCAGAGCTGGCGGTCACGTCGCTTTCTTTGCCTGTCAGGGAGGACGCTCCACTGGGCACAATCATCGCCCTGATCAGCGTGCATGACAGCGACTCCGGTGTCAACGGGCAGGTGACCTGCAGCCTGACGCCCCATGTCCCCTTCAGGCTGGTGTCCACCTTCAGGAACTACTATTCGCTGGTGCTGGACAGCGCCCTGGACCGCGAGAGCGTGCCGAGCTACGGGGTGGTGGTGACCGCGCGCGACGGGGGCTCGCCTCCGCTGTCGGCCACGGCCAGCGTGTGGGTGGAGGTGGCCGACGTGAACGACAACGCGCCCGCGTTCGCGCAGCCCGAGCACACGGTGTTCGTGAGGGAGAACAACGCGCCCGGCCGCCACATCTGCACGCTGTCGGCGCGCGACCCCGACGCGCAGGAGAACGCGCGGGTGTCCTACTCGCTGGTGGAGCGGCGGGTGGGCGAGCGCGCGCTGTCGAGCTACGTGTCGGTGCACGCGGAGAGCGGCCGGGTGTTCGCGCTGCAGCCGCTGGACCACGAGGAGCTGGAGCTGCTGCAGTTCCAGGTGAGCGCGCGCGACGCGGGCGTGCCGCCTCTGGGCAGCAACGTGACGCTGCAGGTGTTCGTGCTGGACGAGAACGACAACGCGCCCGCGCTGCTGCCGGGCGGCGCGGGCGAGCTGGTGCCGCGCTCGCTGGGCGCGGGCCACGTGGTGGCCAAGGTGCGCGCGGTGGACGCGGACTCGGGCTACAACGCGTGGCTGTCGTACGAGCTGCTGCAGCCGGCGGCGGCGGCGGCGGGCGGCGCGCGCGGCCCGTTCCGCGTGGGGCTGTACACGGGCGAGATCAGCACGACGCGCGCCCTGGACGAGGCGGACGCGCCGCGCCAGCGCCTGCTGGTGCTGGTGAAGGACCACGGCGAGCCGGCGCTCACGGCCACGGCCACGGTGCTGCTGTCGCTGGTGGAGAGCGGGCTGGCGCCCCGCGCGTCGTCGCGCGCGCCCGAGGGCGCGGCGGGCGCGCCGACGGCGCTGCTGGACGTGAACGTGTACCTGATCGTCGCCATCTGCGCCGTGTCCAGCCTGCTGGTGCTGACGCTGCTGCTGTACGTGGCGCTGCGCTGCGCGGCGCCGCCGGGCGAGGGCGAGGGCGCGGGCGCGGCCGGGAAGCCGGCGCTGGTGTGCGCCAGCGCGGTGGGGAGCTGGTCGTGCTCGCAGCAGCGGCGGCAGAGGGTGTGCTCCGGGGAGGGCCCGCCCAAGACCGACCTCATGGCCTTCAGCCCCAGCCTTCCTCCCGGTCTGAACGCGTTGGAAGAAAGTGAACATCCACAAACAAATTCGGACCTTTCCGGTAATGTAAGTCCAACTCTCAAGGCTTGGCTTTAATATTTTTAAATTTATCTAACAATGTTTTATATTCACTTTAAAAAAATGTTCCAAAATGTTTACTTTGAAGAATGTGAAACAAATCTTACCATTTAGTTAGATATTTATTCTTAGTCGCTGCCTGCATCTTGAGTAAAACATATCTCGCAAATATAGGGACAAATGGTTATTATCCTTTTAAAATGGTAGGATACTTTAAGAAAAAACACTGAAATATGAAATAGCCTTTTATTTAACCCAGGGTCTCAGTGTGATCAAATACAAAGATATTTTCGGGTTTATTAGTTATATCTCATAGTGAAATATCAAGCCTTGGGCACAAAATTGTATGCAGTTTCTCTTAAGTGTGGGAAATTTCAGAGTGGGTAGTAAAAAGAATTGTTCTAAGCAAATGTAATTTGAAATATTTTTATTGGGCGATATTTTAATTTTTCTGTTAAAACATGACCATTATCTCATTGTCATTATGGCCTGATGCCATTGACCTTGAGTTCTCCTAGAAGGCATATTGTGGCATGAATTTGTTATTTATGATCTTCTTAGAAAACACTTACTGAGCACCTTCCATTTACTCCATCCACAAATAGTCTGAAATATTTTTTACTGTACCCAATCTTTCCAATAACTTAGTGAAGTCCATACTTTGGCTCCAATTCATGGAGGAGGCTCACACAAAGTTCAGTGTTTATGTGGTTTTCTCCAAATCTCCCAAAGATACATACCCCAAACTTGCTAATAACTTTATTACCTTTCATTAAAATTTAAAGATCATTTACAATGAATAAATTTGTAAGGGCAAATTTTTAAAAAATCTGTTAAAAAGCTCAAAATTGGGCCTCCTGGTGGTGCAAGGGCTTAAGTTGCAGCACTATGAAGCTATCAGCAGCCACTGCAGCACAAGTTATAACCACTGTCAGGGAGCTGACCCACAAGGCACAGCAGACCTCTCCGGTCTTGCATGCTACTCTCCCCAGAAGTGTATTTCAGTCAGTCCACCTATTCTGTTCCCACTCTGTCTCTGGTGAATCCTCTTACCCACCACCCCCACCTCTGGCTTGTGCACTAGATCATCTGTGCAAAAAAAAAAAAAAAAAAAAAGAAAGAAAGAAAAAGAAAAAAAGAAAAAAATTAATATAATTTGGTAGCTCTATTTTCAGATTTAACTTGATACAGAGCTGTTGCTTAGAGCTTCATAAAACTTAGGTTGCAAACTTGTTTCTGTAACTTTTCAAGTGTTAATTATCACACCAGTCTTTTGGAAAGAGTCAGCAAAAATAATTTTAAAATCAGGTTGTCAGGAAAATTTCCCAGTTCCTCAAAAAGTAGATCAACTTTGCTGGATCATAAAATTGAGAAAGATACATTAAGGAAACACAAAGTAATTTCTTTTCCCTATCCACATTTTCATGTACCAAGAGCTACATTTGTTAATGATATTAAATTCCAGGCTTACGATTTCTTCTAGAGACACTCAGTATTTACTTATGCGTTCATTCCATAGGCACAAGTTGAGAGTCTACTACAGATAGTCCCTGAATTGGGGTGGTTTGATTTATGGCTTTTTAATTTTACAGTGGTACAAAATTTACAAATTCAGTAGAAGCCATATTTTGAGTTGTGAGTTTTGATTTTTTCCTGGGCTAACCACACCCAGGAAAAAACCATACCCATATGATGCTCTCTCCTGATGGAGGTCATGAAATCAGGAGGGTAAACAAATATATTCTACAGCCTCTTAATTTCAGTACAGTATTCAATAAATTACATGAGATATTGAATACTTTGTTATAAAATCGGCTTTGTGTTAGATGATTTGGACTAACTCTAGGCAAATGTGACTGTTCTCAGCATAATTAAGGTATGCTAGACTAAGCTATGCTTTTCAGTAGAATAGGTATATTTATTGAATGCACTTTCTAATTACACTTTCTAATTAGGGTGGGTTTATCATGATGTGATCTCATCATAAAATCTAGAAAGACTGTATATACTCAGCTCTGTTGTAGAACCTAGGGAGGCAGAAATGGTGATACAAGATACAGGTAAGGTACCTGCCTTCTAGGTAACCACATTTACACACATTTAAAATAACAACTAGGTTATGCAAAAGCTTGGATTTGGTGTAATAGTCATTTTCAGCTTTCTGTGTCTAACCAATGTGTTTATAAAGGAGGATCTCATTCTATTTGTGACTTTTTAAAAATAGGCAATAAGATCTGGCTGTTATTATCAAGCTTTCTGGAAGCAAAACAAATGAAGGCTTTCTCTTTTTATGCAAAAAGTACTCAGAAAAGTAGTGTAACTCTCATTGCCTCAGCTAAAGAAAAATATAAGCAAGATTATGCAAAGTGCCCTGAAAAGGGAAATTAAAATGATCAAACAGTTGGGAGGAACAGAGGAAACCATGTTTTAAGACTAAATTGAAAAAAAAAAACCCACCCATAAGTAGTATGTAAAAACCGAACCTATATTTTCTTCTATCAAGCCAGAAAAACTATATTAAAGGCTGATATTGGAGGCTAGAATGACACAACTTGTTTCTCTAAGCATTAATATAGGTCGGAAAACCAATTACTTAGTAGTGCTTCACCGAGAGGTTTACAATATGATTACTAATGGAAATAAACATCATTTGAAGTCTACCAAATGACTTGGTAAAACACACATTTTTATCTTTTTTTTTCTCTTTTAAGTAATTTAAAGTCTACCTTTTAAACTAGGCCTGAACTCTTCCTGTAAGCCACCTTAGGTGATTTCTGAAAATGGTTTGCTACTCACTAGACCTGGAAATCCCTACAAAGTCATGCAAATCAAGAGGTTCAAATCTTTGAGTTCGTTTTAGGAATATTCTTTTTTTTTTAAGATTTATTTATTTATACATACAAGTAATGGGGTTCAGGCCAGAGGTGGGGAGGTGAGAGGATTCACCAGAGACAGAGTGGAGAACAGAACATGCCAACTGGGGGCCTCCCTGGTGGCACAAAGGGTTAAGTACCACACTATGAAGCCACAGCCACTTGCAGCATGAGTTCAATCCCCTGGTCGGCCAGGGAGCAACCCCACATGGCACAGCAGACCTCTCCTGACTCGCCCGCTGCTCCCCTCAGCAGTGTACTTTGGTCAATCTGCCTGTTCTGTTCCCCACTCTGTCTCTGGTGAAACCTCTCACCTCCTGCATCTCTGGCCTGTACCCCAGCTCTTGTATGCATAAGTAAATAAATCTTAAAAAAAAAAAGAAACAGGCAGACTGACTGAAATACACTACTGAGGGGAGCAGCAGGCAAGTCAGGAGAGGTCTGCTGCACCATGTGGGTAGCTCCCTGGCCAGCTGGGAATCAAACTCTTGCTGCAGAGGTTGCATATAGCTTCATAGTGCTGTGCTTAACCCCTTGGGCCACCAGGGAGGCCCGTTAAGAACACTTTTGACACTACCAGGCCATGAAGGGTATGCATATCTGAAAGACCATGAAGTATTTGATGTCACTCTATAGAAGCAGTCACTCTACAGAAGCAGTGTGTGCCATTCTGTCGTTACACTGGTGGAGTTGGTAGGTGTGCCCAGGCCAAAAAGTGCAGCTGAATGCAGGGTCGGCAGCCCAAAAAGAGTGCTGAGTTTTTACTGTACATGCTTAAAAATGCAGAGTGTAATGCTGAACTTAAGCATTTAGATGTAGGTTCTCTGGTCACTGAGCTCATCCAGGTGAACAAAGCCCCCAAGGTGCGTCTCAGAACTTACAGAGCTCATGGTTGGATTAACCCCTAGGTGAGCTTCATCTGCCACATGGAGATGATCCTTATTGAAAAAGAGCAGATTGGGGGCCAGGGAGCTAATCCTCATGGAACAGCAGACCTCTCCTGTCTTGCCTGCTGCTCCTCTAAGCAGTGTATTTCAGTAGATCTGTCTATTCTGCTCCCTACTCTGTCTCTGATGAATCCTCTCACCCCCTCCCCACACTTCTCACCCGCTACCCCATCTCTCATATGCATAGATAAATAAAAGTAAATCTAAAAAAAAGAAAAAGAGCAGATTGTTCTTAAACCATAAGAGGAGGTTGCACAGAAGACAAAGATATCCCAGAAGAAACTGAAGAAACAAAAACTTATGGTGTGGGAATAGTTCAACATAAAATTCGTGGAAGTAAAAGTGAAAAAGAAAAATCTGGCCTAAAGACATTCAGGCATGTCTTCACATAATGACACTGGGGTTACTGTCAGAAACAAAATTTAGATTGATGCACTAGGGATCTAAGAACAACTAATTAATTGTGATCTTACTACCAGATTATGATCATTTTTATGTAAATGGATTTATTTTTTGTTAATGTTAATTATCCACTAAAATTAATAGGTTCATACCTTGTATATCTGAAAAAAAAAACTAGGCAAAGTCATTGCACTTGTACATATGAGAATAATGATGTTATTCTCATTTTTAATGGAGGCTTGGATTTTCAAGCACCCCCATATAAACAAAAATTATTGATTTCAGTAAGCTCTTGGTAAAAAACATTTTTATCTTTTAATTATTCAATTTTAGTTTTGTGGATATGATCTTAGTGATTATAATTTTATTTTCAAGTTATCTTGATATAATAATACCAATGTAGTGTCATTTGTAGAGAAATATTCTTGCATTGCCTGAAATTAATGGGAAAACACGAGAAGACTGTTTTCTTGAAATGTTCCTTCTTTTTCAGAAAACTTCCTATCAGGATTAGAATTATAATTCTATTTCCTGGTATAATAATAAATAGGTGGGCCTCCCGGGTGGCGCAGCGGGTTGAACATAGTGCTGTGAAGCTGTCTGCAGCCTCTGCAGTGCGGGTTTGATTCCCTGGCCAGGAAGATTCCTACATGGCGCAGCAGACCTCTCCTGTCATGCCCGCTGCTCCCTCAACAGTGCTTTCTGTCAGTCTGCCTGTTCTGCTCCCCACTCTATCTCTGGTGAGTCCTCTCACCCTCCCATGCCTCTTACCTGTACCCCAACTATTGTATAAATAAAAAAAGAAAAGAAAATAATAAATAGGTAGGAACATATTACTTGAATAAGAAATAATTGGGTTTTTTTTGGTAACCACTATTTCTGTTCTCCTTGTGAGAACACTAGAGGGTTTCAAGTCCCTATTATTTTAAGCCCCCAAGAATGTGGCAATTTGTCACAACAACTTTAGGAAACAAATATAGTGTCCATTGCTAAAATTAAACTCATTGCACTTGTAAAACCAATCTGTCAGTTCCCTAAAATTTATGTGTCTGAGCATTCATTCTTGCAAAAATCTTCATTCTGGTCTTTCACAATACCACAACTAAGCCCCAAATGGTAAAAAGAACAAACATATATATAAAAAAAACCCAAGGTAGATTGAATACTAGGCAAAAAATGAGATGCTGAAAACATGTTTACTTCAGCTTATTATTTTTGTCTCCTACCTTTTACATAGAAGAAAAAGAGGTAGCAATCCAAGAATCAAGTGATCTAATCTGCTTAATGGTCAGATGCCTTAGTAAAAATGTCAACAATAATGTTCTGTTGGTTGTACATTACCTGTTGTGATGCTTTCCTTCTAAAATAAATTCTGTTCACATTAGCAGATTAGCTTAATGGCCATGTGACCCCAAATGACTCTGTTCCTGCACATTGACTATTTCTGTTTCCCCTCTAACATACACACAATTTTCTTTCTGGTTCCTGTAAAGTCCTGTGTGGTGTGGGAGAATGTCTGGGACAGTCTTCTCCATGTGTTGGCTCAGCATCCCAGACCGCTTTTTTATGTATACAGGAACTGGGGTGTAGGCCAGAGGTGCAAGGGTGAGAGGATTCACCAGAGACAGAGTGGGGAACAGAACAGGCAGATCTACTGAAATACACTGCTGAGGGGAGCAGCTGGCGAGACAGAAGAGGTCTGCAGCACCATGTGGGTAGCTCCCTGGCCAGGATAGAACTCAGGCAACAGTGACTGGCAATAACTTGATAGCGCTGAGACTTTAAACCCTGTGGCACCTGGGGGGCCCAGATCGCTTTGATCTTATGACTTCTCAATGTCAACCTGTGCTTCCAAAATTGCTACAACAGGAAAAGGTAGCAGAAGAGAGGCTTGTACTCACAATTACATGCTACTGCTTGAAAGTGTCACATTGGTCCAAGAAAATTACGCAGCTATGCGACCTCAGAGTAACAAGGAAGTGAAAACCTCTAGTGTTTCCAGAAGGAGGAGAACAGATATATAGATTGTGGCTACAAATAAACATTGATTTCTCACTCTCACCTGTTTACCTTCCTGACTGACAGCAAGCCTAAAGGTGGCTTGAGTGATGCATTTCTTTACTAATACTTGTTCTATCAGAAAATAGGAAAAATTCCAATAGTTCCGGAAAAATCTAGCAATGGAATATATGAATATATTTTCAAATGACTAAAATGATCCTCTGCTCCTAGGTGCTTTACTTGAAGAAATGATTTAAAAAGAGGTAATATATCCAAAAGAATTAAAAGCAGGGCCTCAGAGAAATATTTTTACACCATGTTCATAGCAGCACTATTCACAATAGCCAAGAAGTGAAAGCAACCCAAATGTCTACAGACAGATGGAAAAATGGATAAACAAATGTGACATAAAGTACATTATGATATTAATCAGCCTCAAAAAGGAGGGAAATCCAGTCACATATTACAACATGTTTGAAGACTGAGGACATTGGCCAAGGTGAAACAAGCCACTCATAAAAAAGGAAATCTTGTAAGATTCCACTTAAATGAGTTAGCAAAAATGCTCAAATTCATAATAACAAAGTAGAATGGTCAGGGTAGGTGGTGTGGTGGTAGAAAATGTGTTTGTCTAAGGGATGCAAGCTTTCATATATGCAAGATGAAGTCTGAGATCTGCTTCACAACACAATATCCTTAGCACTAAGCTGTGCCCTTAAATGGTTGAATTGGTAAATTTTAAAATGAATTTTGAATGCGTTAAAAGAAAAATTATGTTTCAGAGTTTAAAATCGGCATTTTTCCAGCATGAAAACTGTTAGTAAACTTAGATCTTGGCTAGTTTTAAATCTACAGAATAACGAATCCAGCCTACATTTCGGCCACATGATGTCGCTGTCCACCACAGAGTTATCTCCAGGAAGAAAAATACCCAGATCCGCATTGTCACTCGAGAAGCTGAACGATAAAGAGAAGCGGCTGGACTTAAGCAGAGAACAATATCTAAAATTTGGAAAACGCGATTTTCTAATTTGATCAATTCACCGAGGATTGGTAATGGTGTCTTCTATGAGAAGGGAACGGGAGGTGGGGCGCCTGCTGCTCTCCCTTCTGCTCCTCGCAGCCTGGGAGGCTGGGAGCGGCCAGGTCCGCTACTCGGTCCCCGAGGAGGCCAAACACGGCACCTTCGTGGGCCGCATCGCCCAGGACCTGGGGCTGGAGCTGGCCGAGCTGGTGCCCCGCCTGTTCCGCCTGGCGTCCAAGGGCCGCGGGGACCTTCTGGAGGTAAACCTGCAGAATGGCATTCTGTTTGTGAATTCTCGGATCGACCGCGAGGAGCTGTGCGGGCGGAGCGCGGAGTGCAGCCTGCACCTGGAGGTGATCGTGGACAGGCCGCTGCAGGTGTTCCACGTGGAGGTGGAGGTGAGGGACATTAACGACAACGCGCCGGTCTTTCCGCTGGCAATAAAGACTATCCAGTTTCATGAATCGAGGCTGCTTGACTCGCGTTTTCCTCTAGAGGGAGCATCTGATGCGGATATCGGAGTAAATGCTCTTCTCTCCTACAAGCTGAGCACCAGTGACTTTTTCTTTCTAGATATACAGACAAATGAGGAATTAAGTGAATCTTTGTCTCTCGTGCTGAAGAAATCTCTGGACAGAGAGGAAACTTCTCAGGTTAATTTGTTATTGGTGGCTACTGATGGGGGCAAACCTGAGCTTACTGGCACCGTTCAGTTGCTTATTAAGGTACTAGATGTGAATGACAACGAACCCACTTTTGACCAATCAATTTACAAAGTACAGTTGATGGAGAATATTGCAAACGGAACATTAGTGGTTAAAGTAAATGCTTCTGATGCAGATGAAGGATCAAACAGCGAGATTGTGTATTCATTTAGTAGTGATGTGCCCTCTACTATACAGAACAAGTTCAAAATAGATTCCAGCTCAGGGGAAATCAGAACTAAAGGAAACTTAGATTATGAAGAAACGAAATACTACGAGATTCAAGTCATTGCATATGACAAAGGAGCTCCGTCAATGTCTGGGCATTGCAAAATTTCAGTAAAACTTGTGGACATCAATGATAACACACCAGAAATCTCAATAACATCTCTCTCACTTCCCATCCGAGAGGACGCTCCTTTGGGCACAGTCATCGCCCTGATCAGCGTGCATGACCGAGACTCCGGTGTCAACGGGAAGGTGACCTGCAGCCTGACGCCCCATGTCCCCTTCAAGCTGGTGTCCACCTTCAGGAACTACTATTCGCTGGTGCTGGACAGCGCCCTGGACCGCGAGAGCGTGCCGAGCTACGGGGTGGTGGTGACCGCGCGCGACGGGGGCTCGCCTCCGCTGTCGGCCACGGCCAGCGTGTGGGTGGAGGTGGCCGACGTGAACGACAACGCGCCCGCGTTCGCGCAGCCCGAGCACACGGTGTTCGTGAGGGAGAACAACGCGCCCGGCCGCCACATCTGCACGCTGTCGGCGCGCGACCCCGACGCGCAGGAGAACGCGCGGGTGTCCTACTCGCTGGTGGAGCGGCGGGTGGGCGAGCGCGCGCTGTCGAGCTACGTGTCGGTGCACGCGGAGAGCGGCCGGGTGTTCGCGCTGCAGCCGCTGGACCACGAGGAGCTGGAGCTGCTGCAGTTCCAGGTGAGCGCGCGCGACGCGGGCGTGCCGCCTCTGGGCAGCAACGTGACGCTGCAGGTGTTCGTGCTGGACGAGAACGACAACGCGCCCGCGCTGCTGCCGGGCGGCGCGGGCGAGCTGGTGCCGCGCTCGCTGGGCGCGGGCCACGTGGTGGCCAAGGTGCGCGCGGTGGACGCGGACTCGGGCTACAACGCGTGGCTGTCGTACGAGCTGCTGCAGCCGGCGGCGGCGGCGGCGGGCGGCGCGCGCGGCCCGTTCCGCGTGGGGCTGTACACGGGCGAGATCAGCACGACGCGCGCCCTGGACGAGGCGGACGCGCCGCGCCAGCGCCTGCTGGTGCTGGTGAAGGACCACGGCGAGCCGGCGCTCACGGCCACGGCCACGGTGCTGCTGTCGCTGGTGGAGAGCGGGCTGGCGCCCCGCGCGTCGTCGCGCGCGCCCGAGGGCGCGGCGGGCGCGCCGACGGCGCTGCTGGACGTGAACGTGTACCTGATCGTCGCCATCTGCGCCGTGTCCAGCCTGCTGGTGCTGACGCTGCTGCTGTACGTGGCGCTGCGCTGCGCGGCGCCGCCGGGCGAGGGCGAGGGCGCGGGCGCGGCCGGGAAGCCGGCGCTGGTGTGCGCCAGCGCGGTGGGGAGCTGGTCGTGCTCGCAGCAGCGGCGGCAGAGGGTGTGCTCCGGGGAGGGCCCGCCCAAGACCGACCTCATGGCCTTCAGCCCCAGCCTTCCTCAAGGTCCAGGCTCCAAGGAAGAAAGGCAACAACCCAGAGAATCAGAACACGTGGCAGAGGTGAGCCTTTTCATTTTTTAAAAAAATATTTATTTGATACATAGAAGAACTGGGGTACACGCCAGAGGTGCGGGAGGATGGGAGGATTCAACAGAGACAGAGTGGGGAGCATAACAGGCAGACTCACTGAAATACACTGCTGAGGGGCGCAGCTGGGTGAGACAGGAGAGATCTGCTGCACTATGGGTGGCTCCCTGCCAGGGGATTGAACTTGAATAGCTTCACAGTGTTGTGCTTAACCTCTTGAGCCACGAGTGATGCCCCAGCCTTTTCATTTTTTCCTCCAAATTCTAGAATTGTTCTTTTTCAGTTAACATATATTATATAATGATTCCCAGTCACAGATCTATGTTGTCCTCTTGTGCAATATAGTTTATAAATTAGAGATCAATTTCTTTCATTCAGAGCATTTAATTTTTAAAATTTTCCCTTTTTTGCCTTTTCTATTTTCCGTAATTAAATCCCTCCATCAGAATATACTTGAAAGGACTGAAAACCACATCCATAAAAGTTGAAAACTTAACAATACCTGTAAATATTTTTCTCAAATTTGAAAAAATCACATTTGAAAAAAAAATTGAAGAATATGGTTATATAATGCCTATCTCCAGTTTACACCATCCATATATTGGAATAAGAGTGTTATATATCTGAACTTTTTAAAAAGATTTATTGTTATTTATTTATGCATACAAGAACTAGGATGTAGGCAGAGGTGGGGTGGTGGTAAGAGGATTCACCAGAGACAGTGGGGAGCAGAACAGGTGGATCTACTGAAAAACACTGCTGAGGGGAGCAGTGGGTGAGACAGGAGAGGTCTGCTGTGTCAGATGTGGTTTAGCTCTCTTATCTGGAATGGAACTCATGCTGCAGTGGCTAGTGATAGCTTGATTGAGCTGAAACTTTAACCCTTGTGCTATCACACCAGGGAGGCCCCCTACCTGCACTTATTTTAAAGTATTTTTTAGCATCGAAAAAATTCATTTGGTTATCTGTTTATGTAAGTGTCAATAAGTTAGTGTTTCTTTTCCTTGCCCTTGAAAGCGCCCTAAATGGATATGTTAATGCCAGCACTTCCAAAAGTATCTGTCCTACTAGATTATTTCTACACATGACATCATTTAAGAATAAATGCTAATGTTGGCTATCATTTGTTTGTATAATAACCTGTTTTAAAAAAGATTTATTTATTCATGCATACAAGAACCAGGGTATAGGCCAGAGGGGTGTGTGTGTGAGAGAGAGGATTCACCAGAGACAGAGTGGGGAGCAGAACTGGCAGATTGATTGAAATACACTGCTGAGGGGACCAGGGGGTGAGACAGGAGAGGTCTGCTGTGCCATATGGGTCAGCTCCTTGGCCAGGCATCGAACTCATGCTGCAGGGGCTGCAGATAACTTCATAGTGCTGAGACTTAACCCCTTGCACCACCAGGGATGCCCAATAATCTGTTGTTTTGAATAAATATTTCATACTTGCAATATCCTTGTTTTAAGTCACCATAGAGTTCAATACAAAGAGCACCCTCTCAATTTTAATTTAAAAACCTTAACATTAAAAAAATAAATCACACTATTGGGTGACTAGGTGGGGAACTTCTTCATACAAGTGGAGAGTGCTCTATCCAGTCTCATATTATCCAGTTGCTCAGTCATACTTCCAGCATCAGTGTCACTGGGCTAATGTGCCTAGGCCTCCCACTGTGCAGAGACTCACCATATTTCTCTGACACCACATGCAATGCCTGAGAATCCTCTTCTATGACCGTAAAAGCTCACTCCGTTTCACCTGACAACTTTCATATTTCTAGTGAAATTGGAGTTTTTGCAAAAGGCAAAGATTGTATTGGATGGCTTCAATTTTATTGGAAAGTCTTGTGTTACTTAATTAAAACCATAAACTTGACAAATGTTACACTTGGAAAGGAAAATTTTGTTTCAACCAAAGGAAGAGGTCTTGGGGTGATATTGCTGTCTAAAACTGTCTGGCTATTTGGTGCTTAAGTTATTTGATGTTTTCCCCAAATGTAGGAAGATATTGATGAATCAGAGAAATAGCTTCCACTAATTGATCTTCATCTGAAATCTGCTTTTAAAGGGATTGAGGCAGTTGGTGGGGGAAATCTTGAACTCCTTTTAAGGAAAGTCTATTGCTACAAGTAACATTAATTATTCAGACTTCATAAGCATCAAAATGCATAGAGTACATTTTTCTTGAGAATCAGAATTTATCTAAGGTTTTACAGAAAAAAGAATTTGTATATTGTAGACATCCTACTAATTAATAGACATAAGTAAATATACTTTGTAAATTAACAATTACCACAATAGAGAATATGTATATACACATATTTCAATATCTTGATGTTTTGAGGTCCACAAATATCAATAGCCTGATTTTAAGTAGATTTCAAGGCTAAGTGGTTAATTACAGGTCTTGACTAAGATTGAGATCCCACTGAAACACTACTACCCTAGATTGTTTTGAAACTACTTGACTTATTTGTGTTTCCACTTCCTTTTTTTGAAAAAAGTGAATCATATTAATCCCTACCTCATAGGGTTGTTGTGAAAAGTTAGTGGGATGGACTCATTAAAACAAAAGAGCATCGCGCTTGTTACATGGGGACTATTTCCAATATATACCCACCACTGTAATAACAGTAATCTCGGTTACTATATTTTACTCTATGTCATGGACCAGGATACTGAACAGTGATGAGTTAGTTTAAACACACAAAAGATATATTTTGATCATATATAAAAACTTTGAATAGTCCTCAAAGGAAAATTCAACAAAAATAGAATTTTGGGGAGTTCAAACGAAATATAAGGAAAAGATACATTTAAAAATACTTACATATTTAGCCACATGATGTCGCTGTCCACCACAAGGTCTTTCACTACAAAAGAAACCAAGCTTTCATTACGTACCCAGATGCTGCTTTTCCTCACAGTCTCTGAATACGAGCACGGCAGGATTGTTTAAGAAATGAAGAATAAGGAATTGAAATTATTTTTTAAATATTGGATGGATGCAAGAGAGAGTCAATATTTGGGAAAGGCTTGCGCAATGGCATTTTCCTGGAGAGAGAGTCTAGAAGTCCGGCGTCTATTGCTTTGGCTTCTGTTCCTCACAACCTGGGAGGCTGGGAGCGGCCAGGTCCGCTACTCGGTCCCCGAGGAGGCCAAACACGGCACCTTCGTGGGCCGCATCGCCCAGGACCTGGGGCTGGAGCTGGCCGAGCTGGTGCCCCGCCTGTTCCGCCTGGCGTCCAAGGGCCGCGGGGACCTTCTGGAGGTAAACCTGCAGAATGGCATTCTGTTTGTGAATTCTCGGATCGACCGCGAGGAGCTGTGCGGGCGGAGCGCGGAGTGCAGCCTGCACCTGGAGGTGATCGTGGACAGGCCGCTGCAGGTGTTCCACGTGGAGGTGGAGGTGAGGGACATTAACGACAACCCGCCGGTATTTCCAATGACAGTGAAAAAACTGTTTGTTTACGAATCCCGGCCGCCTGGTTCTCGGGTTCCGCTAGAGGGCGCGTCAGACTCAGATATAGGAGCGAACTCGCAGTTGACCTACAGCCTTAACTCCAACGACTATTTTACCCTGGCTGTTAAAAGAAGTGATGAGGAGATTAAATCTCTCGGACTGGTGTTGAAAAAATTTTTAAATCGCGAGGACACTCCGGAGCATCACTTACTAATAACGGCGGTTGATGGTGGGAAACCGGAGCTCACTGGCACTACTCAGCTGAAAATCACAGTTCTAGATGTGAACGACAATGCCCCAGAGTTTGAAAGGACGGTTTACAAGGTTAGATTATTCGAAAATGCACCAAACGGTACCGTGGTTGTGGTTGTTAACGCCTCTGACTTGGATGAAGGACCAAATAAAGACATTGTATATTCCTTCAATGCAGATATGCCTGCAGATACTTTGTCAAAATTCCACTTAGACCCTGTTAACGGGTACATAAATGTGAAGGGTAATATAGACTTCGAGGACACTAAGTTATATGAGATCCAGGTAGATGCGACAGATAAAGGAATTCCCCCAATGGTAGGTCATTGTACGGTCCTAGTGGAAATTTTGGACACCAATGATAACATACCTGAGTTGGTTATTAAATCATTGTCATTACCTGTATTAGAAGATGCTCCACTGGGCACTGTCATCGCCCTGATCAGCGTGTCCGACCGCGACTCCGGTGTCAACGGGCAGGTGACCTGCAGCCTGACACCCAGTGTCCCCTTCAAGCTGGTGTCCACCTTCAGGAACTACTATTCGCTGGTGCTGGACAGCGCCCTGGACCGCGAGAGCGTGCCGAGCTACGGGGTGGTGGTGACCGCGCGCGACGGGGGCTCGCCTCCGCTGTCGGCCACGGCCAGCGTGTGGGTGGAGGTGGCCGACGTGAACGACAACGCGCCCGCGTTCGCGCAGCCCGAGCACACGGTGTTCGTGAGGGAGAACAACGCGCCCGGCCGCCACATCTGCACGCTGTCGGCGCGCGACCCCGACGCGCAGGAGAACGCGCGGGTGTCCTACTCGCTGGTGGAGCGGCGGGTGGGCGAGCGCGCGCTGTCGAGCTACGTGTCGGTGCACGCGGAGAGCGGCCGGGTGTTCGCGCTGCAGCCGCTGGACCACGAGGAGCTGGAGCTGCTGCAGTTCCAGGTGAGCGCGCGCGACGCGGGCGTGCCGCCTCTGGGCAGCAACGTGACGCTGCAGGTGTTCGTGCTGGACGAGAACGACAACGCGCCCGCGCTGCTGCCGGGCGGCGCGGGCGAGCTGGTGCCGCGCTCGCTGGGCGCGGGCCACGTGGTGGCCAAGGTGCGCGCGGTGGACGCGGACTCGGGCTACAACGCGTGGCTGTCGTACGAGCTGCTGCAGCCGGCGGCGGCGGCGGCGGCGGGCGGCGCGCGCGGCCCGTTCCGCGTGGGGCTGTACACGGGCGAGATCAGCACGACGCGCGCCCTGGACGAGGCGGACGCGCCGCGCCAGCGCCTGCTGGTGCTGGTGAAGGACCACGGCGAGCCGGCGCTCACGGCCACGGCCACGGTGCTGCTGTCGCTGGTGGAGAGCGGGCTGGCGCCCCGCGCGTCGTCGCGCGCGCCCGAGGGCGCGGCGGGCGCGCCGACGGCGCTGCTGGACGTGAACGTGTACCTGATCGTCGCCATCTGCGCCGTGTCCAGCCTGCTGGTGCTGACGCTGCTGCTGTACGTGGCGCTGCGCTGCGCGGCGCCGCCGGGCGAGGGCGAGGGCGCGGGCGCGGCCGGGAAGCCGGCGCTGGTGTGCGCCAGCGCGGTGGGGAGCTGGTCGTGCTCGCAGCAGCGGCGGCAGAGGGTGTGCTCCGGGGAGGGCCCGCCCAAGACCGACCTCATGGCCTTCAGCCCCAGCCTTCCTCCTGGTCCAGTTAATGGGGATAGAGAAGAGCAGCTGGGTGTGGATGTTGATCTTTCCGCCAAAGTAAGTAATTTCTTTATTCTTTCAAAAATGACTTTATTCCTCCACGTTTCTACTCCTTTGGAAACATTTTAATAATTACCCTCTAACAGTCGATTTTTCAAGTAATGGTTTTAAGGTCAAAATATTGGATTTCTTGTGACTAATTTTTTTAATTTAAATTTTATTTTTATATTCTCCATACAATTACAACCCCCTTATTTTGACCCCAATCCCTCCTTTCCCCACCCCCCACCCCCCATAGAGTGTCTCTGGTTCATAGTTGTTTGTTGATTTTGATATTTTCTTTCTTATAATTATTCATTTTCCTGGTCCCTTATTTAAGTTTTCTAGATTCCTGCTATGAGAGAGACCATCTGGTATTTTTCTTTTTCTTTCTGGCTAATTTCGCTGAGCATGATCCCTTCCAGCGCCATCCATGTTGCTGCAAATTGCATGTGTTTATCTTTTTTGAATGCTGAGTAATATTCCATGGTATATATGTACCACATCTTCTTGATCCAGTCATCTATTTTTGGGCATTTGGGTTGTTTCCAAAGCTTAGCTGTTGTAAATAGTGCTGCTATAAACATAGGGGTACAGGTGCTCTTAGGAATTGATGTTTCTGTGTCCTTTGGGTAAATACCTAGGAGTGGAATTGCTGGATCATATGGAAGCTCTATGTTTAGTAGGTCAAGAAATCTCCACACAGCTCTCCATAGTGGTTGGACTAGTTTGCACTCCCACCAACAGTGCAGGAGAGTTCCTTTTTCTCCTTGTGACTAATATTTTTGAACCAAATCAGGAATAAGTAGTTAGATCTACACGTGGTTTTTGTTGTTGTTGAACGGCAGCAGTAGTATTATTTTTACTAAATCTCTGGTTAGAAACTACTATATTTTTCAGGTGAATTTCATTGTTTAGAATATTTGACTCCAATTCTGCTGTGCTAGTCCCCACAATGTTTATCATTTGGATTTCCTACTTAATGTTAGCCCACCATTATTGGCCCATTTTATGAATTCACTTTAAGTAATCACCCCCTTTTTGTTACAGTTTTATCAGTACCTCCTATTTGAATATGATTCATTTTATTTCCTGTGCTCACATTTGGTGATAGTGTACCTTAAACAATTGCTAGTTTTACCAATTGGTTAAAAAATAAGTAGGATAATTATCATACTGGTTTTAAAATTGTCTTTGTTTATCATCAGTTCATCATTTAATCAGTAAGCATTTAATATATCAATAGCATATCAAATTTTAATACTCCTTTTAGTGAATCATTTAGAAAATATTCTTTTTTAGACTTGATCTTGCTATGGATTTTTCTTTTCCACTTGAACAATGTGTTGAGAATAATATTGCATATCCAATTTTAACACTATCATAATAACACTTGTTAAACATTAACCTCTTTTGCATACAGTACTAAGGATGCTATATCTAACAAGTCCAATAAGCCATTGTCATGACTGTTGTCATTCCTCTGAATACCAGCTTGTGTACTGAGTGCTATGTAGTAAGAACAAAACTCCAAATAATTGGCACTAAATAGACTGGCACTAAATAATTGGAGTGAAATATGTTTTAGTCATTCCTCTATTTAGTACTTGATCATTTTCCCTCAAAAATAGTTGGATTCCCATTCAAGCTTCCTTGCCACTGGAATCCAAAGCTTAGACATATTAAAAATAGAGGACAGAAACATATTTCTAAATCATTAGAGATAAAAATGAGAATATCAACCGTGCTCATAGTTAGTGAATGGGTTTCAGTGAATAAAATTAAAAGGAATACTTTCCTACACAAGTTATATATTGTAACTTCCCACGTCCTTATTTAAGCTTCCTTGCTGAAACCTTATTAATACCGGTAACATTGTGGAGGTTAACTTATAAAGTATAGAGATACTCCTCACTTTCCCCACTTTTATTTCCTTTTTTGGCATTATCCTGCATTACCCTCTTATCTGTCAAGAATTAGGCACATCATGTCATGTCCAACCTTAGTTAACTACATATTTTATGAGGTATAATTATCATCATATTTAAATTATGGGGTTGTTCAAAGATCTAGTATTGTAGCTACATCAAATGAATATTGAATTGTTCCCAAATACCCATTTCTATTCTGTAGCATTCCTCATCTGTGCATTTATTTTGCAAAATATAGTAAATGGAAAGGGAGCCCTTTTCAATTTTTCTTAGTATGTTTGACAACTATGATCATTTTCTACACATCTACAGTTTGAGTCCTCAGTGAAACTTTTTAATTCAGAAAAACAATTGAGTGTAGTTCTATATAGAATGAGAACTTAAAGCTATTTTCCAAAATAAGTCCTAGACAACCAGTAAGCAAAAGGATTTGTGATTATAGGAGCAAAGCAAGTTTGAAAATGGCTGCCATCATGTCATTCTAACTTAAGTTTATGTAAAGAAAATATATTGTGCTCTATTACTGGGAATTCTTCAATGACAGTTAAAACTCAGAATGCCTCAGAGATCATCACTGCAATGAACTGAAATTAAAACTAAGCTAAACTCAGATTTTATTTTTTAAAGATTTATTTATTTATTTATTTATTTATGCATACAAGAACTGGGGTACAGGCCAGAGGTATGGGGGGGGTGAGAGGCTTCACCAGAGACAGAGTAGGGAACAGAACAGGCAGACTGACTGAAATACACTGCTGAGGGGGAACAGCAGGTGAATCAGGAGAGATATGCTGCACCATGGTTGCTCCCTGGCCGCCTGGGGATCAAACTCGTGCTGCAGTGGCTGTGGACAGCCTTGTAGGTTGCGTCTTAACCCCTTGCACCACCAGGGAGGCCCTAAACTTAGATTTTAAATATGGAAATTGAAATATATCTTAATTATGGCAATGTCTCAGGAAAACATTTTGTATCTCTAGAAAATTATAGAGATTGCTTATATATCATATCTTCCTGACTAGCTTTTCTATGGTACACCTTAATTTAATGCATTTTATTAGACAATTGAAGAGAACCAAAACATACTGTTAGGTAGATATACAGTAAATACTAGGTAAGTGTTCTGAACTGTTTAACTATCAGGCACAACTATTTTCCTTAAAAGTATACATTTCAGAAAGGGAGGATTAGACATGCATTTCCAAATACCTACAAAAGAGAAAGTAATGTAACAAATGTCCCAGCTGATTAAAGCAGTATATTTAAAGAAGTAAAGTGTATTTAAAGAAATAAAGATGCCTGCCCAATTGGCATAATCACAAGGCCTTCCTTGGTAAAATAAATTTAAATGGTCATAAAATGAGGGAAATTGAAGAATTTGGAAATTATATATTAGGCAAGGGGTGAAATGTATTTGTTTACTGAAAAATGTACTTGGAAGAAGGAAATTGTCCATTTGACTAAAATATTATGGGAAGGTGGGAGAAAATATAAGCTAAGGCATATTAGAACCTGGAGAATAGGTGAGTGTTTATAAATAGTAAGAGTCAAAATAAAACCACCAATCTTGCTCATGGGATATGAATGGATTCCAGTGTATGAAATTATTTGGAACACGTTCCCATACAAGTTATGTCCCACATATACTTATTTGATAAAACTCACTTGCCCCTTCTGTCCTTAGATGATTTAAGGAAGATGGTCTTTCTTTTTTATGTTAAAGTTTGCAAAATTTCCTTTCAGTGGTTTAGATTTGGGATCAGAGGTTCCCTAGAGATTGGTGCTTGGAAGTCTTCAACACTAGACAATTAAATCCATAGATGAAGAGTGTATCATTATTAATAACATCCCACATGCTTGAGAACACAGGAAAAATCTGTTGTGAAATTTCCTGACACTTTATAATTTCATGTTTACAAAATGTGTGTTAAGTACATTGGATTTCTGTAAATACTTAAAACCTGTATGAGAAAAGTTTCCGCTAGGTAAAAGCTGCCACCATTCATCAATCAGTAATCCTAAATGTGAGCTTATTCCCCAAAGGCAGTGAGTATGGAAATAGTTGAAAGAATAATGAAGACTTTGTTTACAGTAGAGTCTGCATTTCCAAAATCGATACTTACGGTTAGGAGCCACATGATGTCGCTCTCGACCATAAAATTAACCTGATGGAAGATAAAAAAAAAAAAAAATCCCCTCTATTCTCATGGTAAAGAAGCTGCATCCACCATCCAGATGCTGGGAAACGCAGAATGCAAAGGAACAGGATTGAATGGTCAGAAGATTTCTTTTGATTTTGAGACAAGATCCCTTAATGAGAACAAAGCACTGCAGGCGTGAGATGGAGTTTTCCAGGGGAAGCCATCAAGAATCCAGGCGTCTGCTGCTCTCACTTCTGCTCCTAGCAGCCTGGGAGGCTGGAAACGGCCAGATCCGCTACTCGGTCCCCGAGGAGGCCAAACACGGCACCTTCGTGGGCCGCATCGCCCAGGACCTGGGGCTGGAGCTGGCCGAGCTGGTGCCCCGCCTGTTCCGCCTGGCGTCCAAGGGCCGCGGGGACCTTCTGGAGGTAAACCTGCAGAATGGCATTCTGTTTGTGAATTCTCGGATCGACCGCGAGGAGCTGTGCGGGCGGAGCGCGGAGTGCAGCCTGCACCTGGAGGTGATCGTGGACAGGCCGCTGCAGGTGTTCCACGTGGAGGTGGAGGTGAGGGACATTAACGACAATCCCCCTGTGTTCCCAGCAACACAAAAGAATCTGTTTATGGCCGAATCCAGGCCGCTTGACTCTCGGTTTCCACTAGAGGGCGCGTCGGATGCAGATATTGGGGAGAACGCTCAGCTCACTTACAGACTGAGTCCCAATGATTATTTCTCACTGGAAAAACCGTCAGAGGACAAATGGGCTAAGCGTCTTGGGCTTGTACTAAGGAAACCTTTAGACAGGGAAGAGTCTCTGGAACTTCATTTAACTCTCACGGCCACCGATGGAGGCAAACCCGAGCTGACTGGCACCGTTCAGTTACTTGTGGAAGTGCTGGACGCCAATGACAATGCCCCGGTTTTCGACAAAGCGCTCTATACAGTGAAACTGCCAGAAAATGCACCTAACGGAACGTTGGTCATTAAACTAAACGCCTCAGATTTAGATGAGGGCGCGAA